GCTAATGCTCCCTCATTTAGAATATTGCTCAGTGCTGATGGCCCCGTTCAAAGCAGGAGAAATATCAGAGCTGGAACAAATACAGAGATTGTTTACGGCTCGCATTGAGCCAGTAAAGCACCTAAATTACTGGGAATGCCTTCAGATCTTGAACATGTACTCATTGGAGTGGAGGAGGAGAGAGAGATACATGATGATATGTACAGTGGACCCTCGCATAGCGCTATTAATCCGTTCCTGAGAGCTCAATGTTATGCGAAATTATCGTTATGCGAATTAATTTTCCCCATAAGAAATAATGGAAATCAAATTCATCCGTGCAAGACACCCAAAAGTATGAAATTTTTTTTTTTTACCACATGAAATATTAATTTTAATACACACAAACCGAAGAAGACATGCACAGTTACATGACACTTGCCTTTATTGAAGATCTGGTGATGATTGATGGGATGGGAGGAGGGGAGAGTGTTGATGGTCTTAGTGTTTAGAAGGGGAATCCCCTTCCATTAGGACTTGAGGTGTCAAGTCCTTTTCCGGGGTTACTTCCCTTCTTCTTTTAATGCCACTAGGACCAGCTTGAGAGTCACTGGACCTCTGTTGCACAACATATCTGTCCATAGAGGCCTGTACCTCTCGTTCCTTTATGACTTTCCTAAAGTGTTTCACAACATTGTCAGTGTAATAGTCACCAGCATGGCTTGCAATAGCTGTGTAAGGGTGATTGTCATCAAAAAAGGTTTGCACTTTAAGCCACATTGCACACACTTCCTTAATCTTTGAAGTAGGCAGCTTCTTCAATGTCTCTCTCCCCTCCTCTGGAGCAGTTTCCTCAGGTGTGGCCTCTTACTGTTGAAGATGATCTAGCAGCTCATCAGTGGTTAGTTCTTCATTGTCCTCCTCCACCAACTCTTCCACATCCTCCCCACTAACCTCACCAATATGAGCACTAGTTCCAGGCATTTTTTCCTGTTCACCTGGGTGTTAGTCAACTGTTGTGGGTCGCATCCTGGGGGACAAGATTAAGGACCCCAATGGAAATAAGTTACAGTCCTCGATGATGCACTGACTTTCTTGGGTTATCCTGGGTGGCTAACCCTCCGGGGTTAATCGTTTCTCTGTAATTGTTTCACGTTAAGCCACACCAACAACACTCTCTCCACAACTTCGAGTAATACAGCTGATGGTGGTGCAGCAACAACAACAGCTGACTGTGATGCAGCAACAGCTGACCATGGTGCAGCAGCATTATTATTATAATCAAGGGGGAAGCACTAAACCCAAAGGATTATACAGCGCCTGGGGGGGGAGTGGAAGGCATTCAGGCTTAATTCGGGGAACTGGAGCATGCACAGATCCGATTCCCTAAATCAAGAGCCCCTCACCAACATCATGGAACCTTCCTTGAGGTGCAGCAGCAACTGTGGTGCAGCAACAGCTGACTGGTCTAATAACAGCTGACCGTGGTGCAGCAGCAGCTGACTGTGGTACAATAGTATTTATCACCCTTTTTACCACAGGGTTGGCACTAGAAGCTTTCTTTGGGCCCATGGTGGCTTATTTAGCAGTTACAAGCACTCTAAATAATGGAATAATACAAAATGTATCGAATGTATGCATGCAACCGGCCACCCTGGCTTGTAAACAATGATGGCAAGGCAGGCGCTCAGGCTGGACAGACAGGTTCGGGACGAGTCATGTTCAGAAACAGCTGATGGTGGTGCAACAGCAGCTGACTGATCCAGCAACAGCTGACTGGTCCAGCAACAGTCGACTGATCCAGCAACAGCCGACTGATCCAGCAACAGCCGACTGATCCAGCAACAGCCGACTGATCCAGCAACAGCCGACTGATCCAGCAACAGCCGACTGATCCAGCAACAGCCGACTGGTCCAGCAACAGCTGACTGGTCCAGCAACAGCTGACTGGTCCAGCAACAGCTGACTGGTCCAGCAACAGCTGACTGATCCAGCAACAGCTGACTGGTCCAGCAACAGCTGAATGTGGTGCAGCAGCAGCTGACTGATCCAGCAACAGCTGACTGGTCCAGCAACAGCTGATCGTGGTGCAGCAGCTGACTGATCCAGCAACAGCTGACTGGTCCAGCAACAGCTGATCGTGGTGCAACAGCAGCTGACTGATTCAGCAACAGCTGATCGTGGTGCAACAGCAGCTGACTGATTCAGCAACAGCTGACTGCTCCAGGAACAGCTGATCGTGGTGCAGCAGCACCTGACTGATCCAGCAACAGCTGACTGCTCCAGCAACAGCTGACTGATCCAGCAACAGCTGACTGGTCCAGCAACAGCTGACTGATCCAGCAACAGCTGACTGATCCAGCAACAGCTGACTGGTCCAGCAACAGCTGATCGTGGTGCAGCAGCTGACTGATCCAGCAACAGCTGACTGGTCCAGCAACAGCTGATCGTGGTGCAACAGCAGCTGACTGATTCAGCAACAGCTGACTGCTCCAGGAACAGCTGATCATGGTGCAGCAGCAGCTGACTGATCCAGCAACAGCTGACTGGTGCAGCAGCAGCTGACTGTGGTATGATAGTATTTCTCACCCTTTTTACCACTAGAAGCTTTCTTGGGGCCCATGGTCACTTATTTTGCAGATGAAATCACCAAAAACGCTGTAATAATACGAAATGTTCTGATTGTATGCTTGGATGTTACCGCGGAGGCTGGCTTGTAAACAATGCCACCTGCGGAACATGTGAGGCTGGCTCAGGCCGCACATTAGATGCGTCTAGGACGAATAGCGTTGAGCGAGTTTTTTAGCGGTATGCGGGGCAAAATTTTATGTTAAAATGTATCGGTATGCGGATTTAACGTTATGTGATGCCAACGGTATGCGAGGGTCCACTGTACTTGGAAAGTACTCGAGGGCTTGGTCCCAAATTTGCACACTGCCATAACAAAGTACTGGAGTGAGAGATATGGGAGGAAGTGTAAAATAAACCCAGTGAGGAGCAGGGGTGCAGTGGGGACAATAAGGGAACACTGTATCAACATCCGGGGTCCCAGACTATTCAGCATCCTACCAGAAGATATCAGAAATGGCTGAAACAAGTGTAGAAGCCTTCAAGAGGAAACTGGACAAGTATCTTCACCAGGTGCCAGATCAACCAAGCTGTGATGTATATATGGGGCATTGGACCTCTAGCAGCAAGCACCAGACGAGCCTGGAACATGGCTGAGCTCTGCGAGTAGTTAAAATCTTGAAACTCTTCAAAGATAAAGGTATATCTACTATTGTCAAGCAATAAAGAAATTATAAAAATATTAAAGTGGCAATCAAATCTAAGCTAGTCTAAAAAGGCAGAGAAATTATCATAGAGATTAAAAGACTGTTGTTTTTGTGGATAAGAGGGAAGCAGATAAAGGGAGATGCTATGCCTGCAAGTTATATGTATGTCTGTAAGATAAATTTATGATGATTTAAGACACTATTTACCCTCAGATAGTGATGCTATTCCATATGTTGATTTTAAATCTAGCGAAGGATGATTTGAGGTTTTCAAGAAAAAGGTTGATATTAAAAGTGTTGAGACATGGTAAGGCTTCCAGTGCTGATAAGGAAGCTGCAGAAGCTCCTTATCACTCAAACAAGAGCTGCCTGCAGATCAACAAACTTCCTCTAAAGGTTATGTTACTGTTGGATAACGAACTAGGACATGATTCCGAACTTGCCCAATCTATGGAGGCAGAATTTAAGTTTGTTACAATTAAACTCCTCCCACCCACCCAACACTACTCCTCTCCTTATCTGTGGACCAACAAGTGATTGTGAATTTCAAGAAAATTTACCCCAATATGTTTGCCAAGTGCTTTGCAGAGATGACATATGAAATTGTAATAACATAACACAATGCCAACAAATCATGGAATGGGTGGAGCTTGAACCCATGGAAAGCGAGTCCTAAAGCTCACAGGCCAGTGCATTAACCATTTGGCCAGCAGACTTAATTAAATAAGACTCATCCAACTAGGTATATTTCTATACACCTCCCTGTGGTGTATAGAAATATACTTAGTTGGATGAATTTTATTAGAGCCATCTGGCTTAGTGGTTAACACTGGCCTGTGAGTTTTGGGACTCGCTTAACGTGGGTTCAAGCCCCACCCATGCTGTGATTTGCTTTGCAGAGATTTCGGGAGACAGAGCCATCGGCCTCAAGGAGTTCTGGAAGACTTAGTTGAACATTTTAGATTATGTGAAGCTTATGGGGAATTTCTGGAATGAAGTTCTACCCAGTGCCTCAGTGCAGCCTGTAAGAACTTGTGGCCTTTAGTCACTTATGATTTTGAAGGATTTGAAGCTCAGGAGGATATAAACCAGGAGACTGTCACTCTTGGTGAGGCAGTGGGGAAAGATAACCATGGCATAACAGCTGCAGTAATTCAAAAGTTTTGTACTATTGAGAAAGAGTGAAAATAATAATAAGATATAAGAAAGCACTAAGGCATTGAAAAGAGTGAACACTTTTTCTGTGTTTTTGAAGATAATGTTTTATCATATCTTAAGAACTTCAGAAGAAAGTGGCAGAAACAAACAACTCTGGACAGGTTTTTGAAGAGGCAGCAATGGGAAGGAACTTCTCTTGGCAGCCAGTACCTTCCACTCCACCCTCTTCCCCACCACCACATCACCAACTCTTCAAGTCAGAGGTTCAGTAGTAGCTTCATTTCTGGGGTCTTGAAATGAATTACCATAAAAGCATGTATTCTGAGGTTTGAGTTACAATAGTTTTGAGGTACAATATTTCTTCTGTCACAGATTAATATCATAACTCGAGGGACAACTGTATTGTAGCTTTTACTTTTCTTCTGTTTTATTCTTACCACCCAAATGGTTTGACAATCTTTCTAAGAATATGTGCTCTTATACTGTACACTTTTGGCTCAACCCATTCTTGCTGCCGTCTTCACGACAGTGACGTGTATGTAATATCAGTGACAAGGTGTTCTTTAAATATCTTTCCTGGAATTTTAGATGTTTGTGCTTGGCTGGCTGTACAGTGGAGCAGAAGAGCCGTGATGGAATACTGGCAGAAGTTTCAGCTATGGCTCAAGGATTTGATGATATTGCTGACCTTCTCAATAAACTTCGAGGAGTAAGTAACATTGTATGCAATAATTAAAATTAAGATAATTCATCTTGCAATTGAAGCTGTTCCTCACTTCTGAAGATCTATTCCTAGTGAAAAATTAATTATCTTGGTGTTCTTCGTATTTTTTTTTAAATAATTATTTTGTAAACATCTTTACGAGATTGTGTAGTATTTTCTATTCAAGTGCTCTAAGTATGATATTCTGTTTAAATTTCTAACCTGTTGGCTAATTATCCAGAAATATATAAAGTTTAAATTTATATAAAGTATAGAACAAATTTGCTATAAAATTGATATACAGTGGACCCTCCACTAATGAGCGCATCCACGTGTGAGTTTTTCCAGATACGAGTAGCCGCTTGGTCAATTTTTTGCTTCCTTATGTGAGGGAAATTTCCAGATGCGAGCTGGCCTCAAGGGTGAGGGGCTGGTGAGGGGCTCTAGCTCTTGATCTAGGGAATTGGATCTCATTTGTTTGTTGGAGTATCTTATTGAAACTTGAGCAGTGTATGAGGAAAGATGCTTCTTAACGTACACCAAAATTGAAAGAATTCTGACTGTAAATAACGAAGTTCACTTGTCAGCAATTAGCCGGCCCTTAGCGGTATATTTTCGTATGGTTTTTATATTTGTGTTCTCGTTTTTTTGGTCTCATTTGATAGAATGGTAGATATATTACAGAAATAGATATGATTTTGATTGCTTTCACAACGAAAAGTATCTTGAAACTGAGCTCTGAGTGGCGGAAATGTTTGATTTTTGCCGATGTTCAAGAGTAAACAAATGACATCACCGTCCAATACCTGTCTGAGTGGCCATTCCAATATGCAGTCATGAATTGGTTGACATTATTTATACAATTATTACAATAATGCAGTAGTCTGCATAACAGTAAATCTTCTATTTTTTGTGTGAATAAAAATTCCAAATGGTAAGCAAGAGTATTATAAGAATACATACTGTACTAATAATAATAATAATAATAATATGTATAATATAATAATTATATACTTAATATAATATAAATTATTATAAGAATACATACATACAATAAATAATACGTAATTATAATAATAATAACACCTAGGTAGTAGGTTGGTAGACAGCAACCACCCAGGGAGATACTACCATCCTGCCAAGTGAGTGTAAAACGAAAGCCTGTAATTGTTTTACATGATGGTAGGATTGCTGGTGTTTTTTGTCTGTCTCATAAACATGCAAGATTTCAGGTACGTCTTGCAACTTCTACTTACACTTAGGTCACACTACACATACATGTACAAGCATATAGTATATACACACCCCTCTGGGTTTTCTTCTATTTTCTTACTAGTTCTTGTTCTTGTTTATTTCCTCTTACCTCCATGGGGAAGTGGAACAGAATTCTTCCTCCGTAAGCCATGCGTGTTGTAAGAGGCGACTAAAATGCCAGGAGCAAGGGGCTAGTAACCCCTTCTTCTGTATATATCACTAAATGTAAAAGGAGAAACTTTCGTTTTTCTATTTGGGCCACCCCACCTCGGTGGGATACGGCCGGTGTGTTGAAAGAAAGAAATAATAATAATAATACTATAAGTGAGTTTCGGATCGCCACCACTAGATGTTGGTATGTGTATCAAAACATCTCCGCTCAGGGAGGAAGGGAAATTCTTGTGCTTTCCTTAAGTTTCATGCAGTTATTTTGCAAAATTTCTTGTTTCTAACCATCGTTCCTAAGAAAGCAAGTGCAAAGAACAGTGATGAGAAGAAAAAAGAGGATGATTTCCATGGAATTAAAGCAGGAACTCGTGCATAAACACTAACTAGGTGTAGCATTAAGAGTGTACCATTAAGAGCATAGCAATTAAATGATTAAGTGATAGAAAAAGGACGATCTAATGGAGTTTGCCTTACAAACACACTGTTTTCTGTTGTAATAAAAGCACGGGAAGGTATGAAGTCAGTAGGAGGAATGGCCGCCATGGTGGCCATAACAACAATGGCAGCCACTAACAGTACTCGCATGCTTAATATTTCATTCATTCTAGTGTATACGTATATCATGTGTCGAGATCGCTAACTTCGTGAGAGCATAATTCCATAAGTTTTCCATCAAATTTCGTACTTTTTATGTCATTATGATCGGGAAAAGATTCTCTATCTTTTCATAAGAAAAAATTATTATTTTTTTTTTTTCAGAAAAATTTTCGACCCTGAGAACAAGTGTTATTAATATTGTTTATTATGTCATATTAGATGAATTGTGATAGATAAATAGGCCTGGAATTCCACTGGAATGAATTGTATTTCAGTTAATTTAAATGAGGAAAATTGATTCTGCAAACGAGCAAATCCAGATGCGAGCAAGGAATGGAACAATTAATCTTATTAGTGGAGCTTCCACTGTATCTTTGAAGTTTCGAGAGTTTAACTACTCTTAGAGCCCGGCCATGGGCCAGGCTCATCTGGTGCTTGTCTGATCAACCAGGCTGTTGCTGCTGGAGGTCCACTGCCCCACATAACCATCACAGCCCATTTGATCTGGCATCTGGTGAAGATACTTGTCCAGTTTCCTCTTGAAGGCTTCTACACTTGTTCCAGCCATGTTTCTGATATCTCCCGGTAAGATGTTGAATAGTCTGGGACCCCGGATGTTGATACAGTGTTCCCTTATTGTCCCCACCGCACCCCTGCTCCTCACTGGGTTTATTTTACACTTCCTCCCATATCTCTCACTCCAGTATGTTATGGCAGTGTGCAGATTTGGGACCAGGCCCTCGAGTACTTTCCAGGTGTATATTATCATGTATCTCTCTCTCCTCTGCTCCAATGAGTACATGTTCAAGACTTGAAGGCATTCCCAGTAATTAAGGTGATTTACTGGCTCAGTGCAAGCCGTAAACAATCTCTGTATTTGTTCCAGCTCTGATATTTCTCCTGCTTTGAATAGGGTCATCAGCACTGAGCAATATTCTAAATGAGGGAGCACTAGCGATTTGAAGAGTGTCACCATCGGCATTTTCCCTTGTTTTGAAAGTTCTCAGTATCCACCCTGTCATCTTCCTGGCTGTCGTGATCTTTGTCCTGTTATATTTCTTAAAAGAAAGGTCAGCTGACATAATTATTTCCAGGTCTTTTACATATTCTTTTTGCTCTATTTAGTGACCCTCTTGAGTTTTGTATACGTATAGTGTTCCTTTTGAGTTCTTCATTCTTTCCATACCTAAGCAGCCAGAACTTATCCCCATTGAATGTCATGTTCTCCACTGCCCACTGGAAAATCCTGCTTATGTCTTCCTGTAATTTTTCAGTGTCCTGTACCATAGTGACTTTTATGCTTATTTTAGTGTCATCTGCAAATGATGATACAAAAATGTGATGGGTGTTTTGATCTATGTCTGCTATAAGGATGAGAAACATCAAAGGTGCCAGGACAGTGCCTTCAGGCACTGAGCTTTTGACCTCGCTGATGCTGGATCTTGCTCTGTTTACTACTACTTATGTTCTGTGTGTTAGGAACCCGAAAATCCATCTGCCTACCTTCCCCATAATACCCATGGACCTCATTTTGTGCTCTATCACTCCATGATCGCATTTGTCAAATGCCTTTGCAGAAGCTGTGTAAATCACATCTGCATTTTGGTCTTCTTCCAGTACCTTCTTAATTCTGTCATAATGGTTCAGCAGCTGTGACAGGCATGATTGTCCTGCTCTAAAACCATGCTGGTTCAGATTATGCTCGTATGTGAAAATTGTAATCTGCCGTCTCATCACTCTTTCAAAGATTTTTAAGATGTGAGAAGTTAGGGCTACTGGTCTGTAATTTTTAGCTAGTGCTCTACTACCTCCCTTATCCAAAGGAGCTATGTCTGCACTCTTTGAGGCCTCCAGTATTTCACCTAGATCTAAGCTCTTTCTCCTAAGAATACTGAGGGCTTGTGCAAGTGGTACTTTGCACTTCTTTATAAATAGAGCATTCCATGAATCTGGTCCAGGTGCTGAGTGAGTGGGGATGTTGTCCATTTCTTTTTTGAAATCTATGGGATTTGTACTAATGTCCGTTTGTTTTTCTGCACGGCGTTCTGCTGGAGCGAAAAATATTTCTGCATTTTCTACCTTGCTGTCATTTAGTGAGTTGCTGAACACTGACTCAAACTGTTTTTTTAAGATTTCACTCATTTCCTCTTCATCGTCAGTATATGAATCTCCTCTCAATAATGGTTCAATTCTACAGGTAGTTCTTAGTTTGAATTTTGCATAGGAATAGAAATATTTTGGGTTTCTTGCAATATCCTGTATGGCCCTTTTTTCCCTTTGTACTACTTCTGTTAGGCATGATATCCTGAGTTTTTGCTCTAATTCAGTGATCTCTCAGCTAAGCCTGTCTTTCCTCTGTTGCAACATATTTGTGTTTCTAAGCAATTCAATAACTCATTTTCTTCTTCAGTACCATCTCCTATGCTCTCTCTATACCTGATCATCATCTGGGTTTCCTCAATGGTATGTGCTTCATACATTGTATGCTTCTGTATTCAGCTTCTCTAGGCACTGGTGGGGATTTAGGGTGCTCAAGTCTGATTCTCAGAATATGTCTGATAACTCTTGGTTTATTTTTTCCCAGTCAATTCTACGGGTGTTAAAACTAAACTTACTAAACATTCCTTCTCTAACATAAGTGGTGCAGTTCCCTAACCCTGAGTTAATACTCATTTGAACTTCTATGATGTTGTGATCAGAATATATTGTTTTTGTAACTGTTATGCCTCTGATTAGTCTCTGATTGTAAATATCAAATCCAGTGTATTTTCATTTCTAGTGGGATCAATTATCTGTTGGTTCAATAAGTACTTTTCACAAAACCTCATTAGTGCCCTAGTGTGTGCCTGTTGAGCCAGGGTGCTTCCCGGAGATGTTTCTGGTATAACATTGTGTTGCCCCATCTTCCATTTTACATGAGGGAGATTAAAATCACCAAGGAGTAAAATATTTGGTGTGGGATTTTCTAGCCTATTGAGACAGCTATC